TCTATGGAAATGGATCTACGGGAAAAATTGGTAACGCTTCAGGAAATCTTCACAATATTTCGACAGAAAAACAGGTTTTGTGGGTCCCTGCCATGGAAAGAAATTTGTAGCAATACAGAAGAATGCCGAACCTTTTTGGTGCAAATGCCATTTACATTAAAACCTTTTGGTTTTGAAACATTAATGGTATGTGCATTTATTTATATCACCGGCCTCCCATCGTGGAAGAGATTTTTCAAGAGATGAATGATGCTGTATTAAAAGGATACAAGTTGCGATATTATGATATTGTACAACCGTAACAAACAAAAGAAACAAGTTGCCCTTCGTAGCATCACTAGTGTATTTACCAGACAAAAGAAAAGGGAGAGGTTTGCTGTGCGCATGCGGGCCCTTCTCTTCCGGCTCGGCTCTCGAGGTTCATGCAGGCGAGCTGCTGGTTGGGGTGGTTGGGTTTAACCACGTGAGTCATTCCCTTTGCACCCTGCACGAAAGCGGCAGAACCATTTGCCAACATCCCCGCCTTCGAAAGCAATATGCAAAGTCTAAATGGCATTCTGATATGTAGGCATATTGCTATTTCGGACCGTTAGGGGACTGAACATTAAAAAAACCATTACTACGTTACTCCAGCGGGAATATCACTAAGTGAAGATTAGTTGGAAGTGGTTAATATTTATTTAGATATTCCTTTATTTAACGCCCAGAAAATTAAAAACTTTTTGTGAGGTATGTGGGTAACGTACAATCTGTGTTTTATTATATTTTAGTATTCGTATCCCTGTATTAAAATGCCCTAAGTCGACCAAGTATTAAAGGTATCTAAGTGCATTTTTTGACATTTGGTGACAGGAAATATTTGCTTCTGTGTAATAGAAAAACGTCGGTGGCAAATGAGCAACAGAATTTGCCTGAGATCCTCATCGAGTCCCTCATAAGTACTATAAATACAAGGAGAACAATTTTAATTTTCTCTTCACGAAACAACTCTATTCCTCATCAATATCCTTGGAGCTTAAGAGAATATACGTAGATACTGAAGCTACATTTATGATCAGAAGCAAAAGAAGGGTCTATCTTAGCTATTTCTAATGGAAAGACCTGATCGAGATTATGGTAATTGAACCAGAACATCAGAATACAGAGGCATTACAGGTGTATGAAGTATTTTAGTAATATACATTTTATACTGCAACTGGTAAGTTAGTATTATTTCCTTAAATATTTTATTTTTTGATTCACAGATGATGCACAGCACATACATAATCTCACACATAATAGATGTCACACACTTCTAGAGCATGTAGAGGGGTGAAAATGATAACTTTGGCCAATGAAAACCTGGTGGAAAATTTCATATCACAGAGTCAGCTATGTCATTGGCCCCTCCTTGTTAGGCAACCGCGTATACAGAGATGTTCGCCAGGCTTAAAATATTTCGTTGATAGTGTCAGGACGGTGTAACCCTGTGTGTAAAATGTAGCCTATCAAGCATAGGCAAATGTCCATGTGTAACTTCGTTTTATGAAATTTTACACTACATGTCAAAAGTTCTCAAAAATAATACGTTTTCGTCTGTCTATATGGTAACAATTATTCTGGGCCAATCTGTAGAGACTGTCATGCAAAAAATACTTTAATTGCCCTTTAAAGTGTTATTGTCGTATCCAAAATTATATTACAATGGACGAGGCGATAAATACTGTAAAGGAATTTTGTTAGTATAGTTGTTAGTTCATTAGTTACGTAGTTAAGCAGATCATCCTAACTGTTTAAATTACCAAGCACAATACATATATTCTACAGTGAAGTGATTTTGCGCTTAAAATTAGAATTTAAATCTGATAGCTCAGATTGTGATCACTGTTTCAAAAATCTGTTCGGGGAAGGTTTGTAGAACCCAGGTATAAGTATTCATCAAATATATCTGTTAAACATGATTCAAATAAAGGCTCCATACGATCGTAATAGTTTGCGTGAGCCAACACTCGTAGAGTGCATAATTTTATTAATTATTGCGCAAGTAAGAAAGAATTTATTTGCATGGGAACTGATATTTAAAATAATGTCCCTATATTTGTAATTTAAGGTTACAATTGGAGTGCAAACGAACGACCACGAACGAAGTTCCTTCTCTACAAAACATAAGATACTTATATATAAGATATCTATATATAAGGATATCGGGATACATGATTCCATACCAGTTCCTCCGTTCTGATTACTATCATACCTACGTCGTTAGAACCATGATCACCGCTTCCTTTACAGTCGTCATATCCACCCCGGCCGATGCATCCCTCTCCATCCTCGTCAAAGGAGCGAGCAGAGAACGCTTTTGCAGGTGAGGATGCGAAGGAGAGCGAGGATGAGAACGAACACACGAACGAGGATGACCAAGGATTAGACGAGAAGGAGGGCGAGTATGAGGGTGAGAACGAGGGCGGAAACGATGGCGAGAATGAGGGCGTACATAAAGGCAAGAATAAGGGCGAAAGTTATGACGTGCGAGAGAAGAACGGCGAGGACGAAGACACATAAAAGGACAAGGTTGAGGAATCGAACGCGAGGAAGGACGAGTGAGGATGAGAAGGAGGACACAGGTGACAACGCGGAATAGAACACGGGTGAAGGCGAGAGTGACGGCGAGGTTGCGGGCGAAAGCGGCAACGACGGCAAGGGTGCGATCGAGGGCGAGGACGGGCGACAGGACGAGGCGAGGGCGAGGGCGGCG